TATCTGCTGCATAGTCTTAGGAGAGCCTGTAATAACCTTACTGATTACAGAAATTTCAGCATTTGAATCAACTGTGAGTAGCAGCTCTTTAGCTTTTCTGAAATCTTCATTAGCCAAAGAATAATTTCCATCATTCATATTTGCCTCACCTCTTTTGTAATAACTTTTAACATTTTCTCCGATATTATCAAGACATTCAGTACTAAACTTTACAACATTCGAGTATCTTTTAAGTTTTAACTCACATGTGAGTAGATTATTGAACAGAGTGATCAACAAATCCCTAGCCTTTCTATTATTTAAATCCCATTTCAATTTGGAGATCCTTCTCACATGTTTAATTCCGCTTCGATAACATCTGGAAGCTGAAATATTCTTATTTTGAGAGAAGAATAAGTTGCCATCTTCTTTTTTGTTTAGAGCTAGATTGTAGCTCTCTTCATCTGAATAATCCCATTCCGTAGCATTGCCATCACTCGAATATTTTCGTAATAGTTTGATGGAAATTTTATATTTAACAAGATCCTCTCCTAATGTTAAAATCTCACATGTTTCTCCTGGATTCATCACACTAAGTTTTTCTTCCATATCTAAAAACTTTAATTGCCCATTTCCTAGTTGGGTGTGTATTGGTTTATCAAATGAGTTTTCTATTATTTCTTCATTGGTCAAACAAACAACGGAATGGCTAAATTCAACTTCTAACATTTTTTATTATTTTACAAGGGCTTTTTCTTCTTTTTCGTCATCCCCTTCCGCCTTCATAAGTGACCTCTTGTAAAAGTAGAACGAAACAATCACGAAAACAACAAAGGCAACCAATACAGCAGGTATGAACCCCAACATTACAGCAAGATTACCACAAGGTTGGTTGCAATAATTGCAAGCTCCTCCTCTAAGGTCATCAACGAATGAGTCTTGAATATCTACATCTGGACAGTAGCCAACACCATCTGATAACACTTTTCTCCTAGAGAATTCTGAATGTGCATCAGGGTATGTGGTTGTGTTGAATAAGGTAGCTGGAACATCCACACCAACAACACCCAAAAACATGCCACCAGAAGAATAGCAAGGAAGGGATGCTGTAGTCATATTACCAATTCCCAACAAGTCGGAATAGAAATTAGACCAAATAATATCATTCTTTCCAAGTCTTCTGTAGGAATGAAAACTAAAAAATGGACTCATTAATCCTCTTACATCAGAACTTTGCTCTGTGGAAGCGTCAGAGGGATCCAGTGGTATCCACAGCCCACCTGTTAGACATGGATAGGATTTCAATGGGTTAGCTTGCCCTTTTTGAATGCCAACTGAGAACGAAAATACTCTAACTTTCTTTACAAAACTAGTACCCAAATAATTCGATAGTGACTGATATTGAGTAAGTAAGCTGTTGACTGGATTTGATTCGTCCTTGATATTGTCAGCATCTCCAAACACAACAAGTGAGGTATCACAATTAATCAATGAGCTTGAGTATTGCTTAAGGAACGCAAATGATGTCTCAAAGGCAGCTGTATGATAGGATCCGGAATTGGTTGTGGAAGAGGTTTGAACAAAGAGCGACAAAATCCAATCAAGTAGACTTGATTTTGTTGCGTCAGTTGCGAACAGGAAGCCTGTTTTTTCATTTCCTGGATAAATAATTGCCTTCTTGGTAAAAAGAACAGCAGCTATCTTATCCCTCTCGTTTAAGGAGTTCAATAAGCTGTTTAAGGCCGATACTGTTCTGGAATATCCATTACTACTTCTCATTACTACAGACGAATAATCTATTATCAGAAAAATATTTTTGGATACATAAGATGCTGAAATAAACCATGGTCTATTTCTGTATTCGAACCCAGAGTAGCAAGAAGTTGCAGTGGTGAATGCATCATTTTCAAGACAAATTGATGATGATTGTGACTTATTAAATCTCCAATTCAATCCAGGATAGGTGTTTATCATTGGAGCATATTCACCAGCAACATAAATTTGGCTGATAGTGTCGTCAACCTTATATTTAGCCTTATAAAAAAAGGTTATTAGGGTGTTTGATAAAACTTACATCTCTATAAGTAAATCTCAGATCTTGGAGAGCACATCTTAAATCTCTAACTTCAGCAATACTAACTGCTGTTCTAGGAGTATATTTTTGAATTCCATCATCACCAGTTG